TTAAACTGCTATAGATCCCTTATCAAGTGAGTTTTATTCACATGATTTATATTTCTTATACATTCATCTCACTTTTATTAGATTTTGCAATTATAAAACCAAAGCATATAGTACACTGAAATTGTAAAATACAATGAGATTAAATCAATAAACAAAAATGATGAATGAGTAACAATAGCTAATAGTAAAATTTTAAAAGACTACGACTGTGAATGATTGATGGAATGAATAAATAATATATAATAGTAGTTAGCTGAATAATGATAATAAAGATTAAAAATATAATAATTCTATAAGTCATGCAGAATGAATAATAATAATTAGAAAATAACAGTGATAAAGTAAAAAAACAAAGATTGGAATTCCCAGACAATGGTTCACTTTGCCATCTATGTTGAACTTGGGGGGTATAGCTATGATAGCACTTTAAAATAACTTGACTTGTCTCTTGACTGCATGAAGGCACACTGAGCTAATGTTGAGTGTGTTGACTGCTCAGTAGTTAGATCTAGTAGTAGTCTGTTTTCTCATTATCACAGGCAATGGTTGCATGTTTACAAAAGTTGAAGAGAATAGCTCAAGAGGATATCAGCTTATCTGTAGATCTCAACTGTCATAAAACACAGGCTAATATTATTGACATTGTGATCATAAGCATCAGCTTACCTGCATGTACTGAAACTGCAAGGATGATAAAGTTCCTATCAAAGACTTAAATAGAGCTGATAAATTTTTCTCCTGATGCATAGCTATCATTCTTGCAAAAAGATCCGTATAGTTTCCGTGTTGTTCCGTACTTCAATACAGATCCGCGAGCGTTCCGCGTTGATCCGCATTTCAGCCTGATCCGCATTTGATCCGCGTGGATCCGTATTTCAGGCAGGCCCTTAAAGGCGGATTTACAATATGACATTAGGCCAGCGTACCGTCAATTTTTAATCAAAAGCGTGGGCGATTTGACCTTTTGACGCATGCTTTCCGCTGGAATAGAACCAGATTCTATTCCAGCGTCAACGTAACGTCAGGACTAGCGTAATATTGTAAATCCGCCTTAAGGCTGGTTCACAATATGACGCTAGGCCAACGTACCGTCAATTTTTAATCAAAAGTGTGGGCAATTTGACCTTTTGACGCATGCTTTCCGCTGGAATCGATCCAGATTCGATTCCAGCGTCAACGTAACGTCAGGACTAGCGTAATATTGTGAACCAGCCTTAAGACTCAATGGATAAGGAGAAGACAAAAATAGCGAGAGAAGATTACACAGAATAACTGATGAAATCTGACTACGAAGCTGAGAGGCATCAAATTTAAATTTTCTGAGACTTGGTAGTTGAAGTACATTGTAGAGACATTGAAAGAGGTCATTATCAAGGAGACGACGCCTTCTAGAATCATCAGTGATGAGTGTAAAGGTAAATGACTCCAACTCTTTCTGGGTATTAATTATTTCTGTTATTTTTCGTGAAATGTTCAATCGAATGCGAACAGGTACAATCTGGCCTTTTTTAACCCATTGTGTACGAAAAACTGTTTCATGATTCAAGTAGAAGGATATTCCTAGGTGCTTCAAGTTATGACCTTTCAAATGAGGGCCAACAACTTCAAATTCATTTAATAGTGTCACCGATTTGACTACCGACGGTTGTCCTGGAGGAAATAAAAGATTGAGGATCGTATTTAATGAACCTTTTATGTCATCACTTGTCTCAAACTCACTATCAATAGTGAGTACCTCAACGGAATGAAATAGCTTTTTAAGCTTCCTGATGAAATGAGGACTTCTTAGGTATGGCTCAATTGTGGATATATATCTATCTGAAAGAATGAGTTTCCTAAGAAAGATACCACAGTCTATGAATTCGTAAACTATATCAGATACAAATCTGTTGTCAT